ATCTAATTGTATTTATCTTTGAAGTCAAAGTTGAGAACCTGGGTGGGGAAGTATCTGATAACATTGGCCAAGTTACTACATCAGAAGAACAGGGCTCCTGCTCCTTGGGGATATGAACCACACAGTCTATAATGTCCTTATATTGCTTATCAGTAGCGATTTGCTTGCTGGTGTGCTGCACCTGCAGCAGCAGATTGACCAGCTTCATGGGCACTAACGCCATCTTGGAGATGGCCGTGGCCACTCTGCCTGCCAGGAAGTCCTTGGCAAAGGACACAGCAGCACCTGTCATGCTGAAAGGGAAAAGGAGGCTGGCAACCGCGGGACTAGGCTAGGAACCAGCTAGAATTCAGAGGCTCTGGGCTCCTCAGGCACTTTTGACTCAAAAATTTTCCAACTGAATTTATCAGTTTTTGTCCACACCAGTCTTCCTCCCTGCCTTTCTTACTTTGGTAAAGAGTGTCACTACCCGACTAGTCTCTCAAACCAGAAACCTAAGCACCATCCTCAGATGTTTCCTCATTACCCACATCTACTTTAGTCAATGTGTGCCACTGAAATCTGTTGGCTTTGTTCCTGCCCATCACAGCCAACTAGTCTCCCAACATCAAGACTTGTGTGTCTTGAGATTGCTGGTCAAGATGACAGAGTAGGTAAATGCTTTGCTTGCATTCTCTTATGACCACATCAAAATTACAACTAAACTACAGAACAACCATCATTAAGAATCATATGAAGTCTATACAGAAGTCCTATAACTAAAGATATACAGAAGAAGCTATGTTGAGACTGGAAATGTAAAAGAAATACTGTATATTTCTGAAAATGGGCACTAGTGCTTTCTACAAGATGAGCACCTGTGATTCTGAACGTAATTCCTTGGGCTATAGAGGGCCCATGACTGGTTAAAGGACAAACAATACACAGGGTTATACAGTGCCCTGAGCATTTTTCTCCTGTCTGTGGACTAAAATTAATGAGTAAAAAAGCATTTCCTTGGCTAATATGTTATTGACTAGTTTCTCAAAGGTAAAAAAATAAAAAGACTTGTATGTCTTCAATTTATGATACGAATAAATTATGACATGAATCCCTTTGTATTATATTTATTCATATATGTAACAATCTGGCAACACTGTTCACTGAAGTATCCCCAACATCTAGCCCAGCACCTGAGCATTCAAAAACACAGGATATGCCTTAATGTTGGTGTCATGTGTATTCTTATTGTTTAAATATACCAGCATGGAACACCACCTCCTTTGCTATCACCCTGAGGTAAACCACCATCATGTCTTGCCTGAATTACTGCAGATCTTTCTAACTAGTCTTTCTGCTACTACCCTGGGTGCCTCCTGCCCGCTCTCTCCAACACCCAGTCTGCAGCCAAAGTGATCCTGCTAAACATAAGTCAAATTAAAATCCTTCAGTGGTTTCACACCTCACATTGAGTAAAATCCACATGGCCTGCATGATCTGCTCCCCTCATCCCCACTAAGGGTGCAGACTTTGGAGCCATACTACCTGGTTTCAAATCCTGGCTCTATCATTTACCAGCTATGTGACCTAGGGCAAGGGAATTAACCTTTCTGTACTTCAGTTGCCTCATGTACAAAATAGAGATAATAGTATCTACTGAATAGGGTTGTTGCGAGAAGTAAATGAATTAATGTGGTGAAGTACCTAGAACAGTGTCTGGTACATGATGTGTACTACTTCAGATTTTGTTAAATAAACAAAAATCTCCTGTCATTATCCTCCTCGTCTGCTCCTCTCCAGCCATTCTGGCCTCCTTGTTGTTTCTCAAATGTAGTTCTGTCTCAGGATCTTTGTACTTACTGTTCCCTCTGCCTGGAACACTCTTCTCTCAGATACCCCCATAGCTTGCTCCCCATCTTCTTGTAGGTCTCTGCCTCCATGCCACTTTATCAGGGAGGGCTACTTTGACTGATCACAACCCTTTATAAAATAGCAACACTCTGTCACTCTCTGTCCCTTTACCCTTCTTTATTTTTCCTTCATAGCCCTTATCAACATTTAATATACATTTATGTGTTTATTTTCCTACTTCCCCAACAAGAATGTAAATTCCGAGGGGACAAGAACTCTGTGTGCCTTATTTACTGTTATAACCCCAGCACATAGAACAGTGTCTAGCATATAATATTTGCCCAATAGATATTTATTGAATTAATGAATAAAAGACAAAAATGAGAGAATAAAGATCATGATCTCTCTGCCAAGATAACATGGCAATAAAAATGTAAGTAATATCTGGATAAAGGTAAGAAAATTCTAACAGTATAGAAAGGAAAAAAAAAGAGAGAAATAAAAGTCTCTTCCCCCTATATGCATCTGTTTCCCTAAAGGTAACCATAACTGTGTATTTTCAATTTCATTCACCAATAAATGTATTGGTTACTTGCTATGTGTGCAGGAAAATGTTGGAGGTCTGAGGTGCTGAGGGCTTAAAAATGAAGAGCCTTTACCTTCTAAGATCTCACAGTCTTTCTTGGGGGAAGAATATAAAAGAGTTGTGATGTGCTGCAGAGTTCTGAAGTGGGAACCATCACTGTGGGCTGGCAAGGTCAGGAAAGGTTTCCTGCACGAGAGATGCCTTGATGGAAGTTTGGAGCTTGGGCAGGTTTCATTCAGAGTGAGGAGAGTGGCCCAGGGGTATTAGGCTCCCTTAGCAGAGGTGTCCAGGTTGAATAATGAAAGAGGTCCTCGAGGGAATGAGTAGAAATGGAGCCTGGCTGAAGTTAAGGCTTCATGTTGGGGATCGGTGGGAGGAAAGGCTCTATAATAGAGGTTGGGGCAGTTATAAGAGTACTGAAAGAGCTAGGAGGCATGCAATAATGTCTCAGAACTGAACTATGACTAGAAGAGATGCATTTTATAGACACTGCAGTAGAACAATTATTAGGGCTTGGGGTTGGATAGATATCTTTAGGTGAATAATAGCGAAGACTGAAATATGACACCCCTGTTTTTGAACCAGGGAAGCTGGGAAAAATGGTGATAACATTGCTGAAATAGGGAAGTCAGGAAGGAAAGCTGTTTTTGAATGTGGTGTGGTAGTGGGAAGTGGAGAGATGGATTTGGTTAGACATGTTGTTCAGCCTTTCCCTGAATATGGGGATTGCCTTTGGCTTCCTTAACATTGCATGCAGAACACGGAACTGAGCCCTGCATCCAGTAGGTACTAAATGAATGTTATTGGTGATCACTAATAGTCACCTTAGATGGCAAACCCTAGTCCTGCTCTCAGACGTTAAGTTCAAGGGGTCTTCTGGATTCCCACCTCCTTTCCACTCAGCCTTATGTAAGTCTCTAGGCCTCATCTTACCTACCAATTTCTAACAATTGCAAGCACATCCATTGAGATGTCCCAAATTGGGATAGTTTTCAGCTCTCCTAGCTTCAGAAAATCTCTGTTGAACCCACCAGCTGCACAATAGTAGTCTTATTATATTCTCCTCAACCTAAATTGTCCTTCCTTTTGATTGGTCTTACTCTCCTCTTTTGCTTCAGCTTCCTTTTGAACTCTGATGATCAAAGCCCAGGTGTAGCCTCAATTCTGTCATTTCACGATGGCCTGAAAAATCCAACCAGATGATGCTGCATGTTAGTTTACCACTTTGCAGTGGCTACTTCTATCCTACAACTAAGCAACCTAAGATTCCTAGGAATAGATAAAATCCATATGCAATCTGTCACTGTTTAGTTTTCATTGCCAAGATAATTCTACAAAGTTAATGAATAGCTGGGTTAGAGTAGGGGAAGGGCAGAGAATGAATGAAGAGAAACTGTCATTGGTGAGCAGCAGCCTCTGTTCTGCTTCTTGGCAGGACATTGGGTACATGATGAGCCCTTGAAGGTGCAGTTGTCATCATCACCATTGTCATTTATAAAAGGGCCTAAAGCTAAGCCTACACAGAGAACTACAAAGCTCTGGACCTTCACTTTTAGACCATGCATGGGCTGAGACTAGGTCATGATGTGGACACATGCAAGATGGATTCAAATCTTCAAAATGACTTAAATCATACATTATATGCCACCATTTCTTCTACGGGTTCCTGATTATTTCCGGAGTGATATCTATCAAGCAACTATGTCTTGTCTCCTCGAGGATATTAGCTCCTCGAGGGCAGAGAACCCAACCTTACACTCCTGTCTACAGACTTGCTGTACAGGACAAATATAGATGCTCGGTAAGGACTGATCAAATCAACCAGATCTGTTGCGTAGAGGCAGAGTACCTTTCAAGCTAATTAACTCCTTTGAATCTCAGTTTCTTCCTCTATAAAATGGGGATGATAATTATAGACTTTACTGGTTTGTTGTGAGGGTGCAGGGGCAATACATGCAAATTGCTTAGCACATAACCTAGCATGATCTGCTCAATTGCTAGGTATTAATTTAACAATATTAATTACTGCCTCTTGCTTAGGTAGGAGGGAAGCTATGGAAAAGGGTGAGTGTAGAAGCTCTCACACAAATCTGGGTACTCATATCTATAGAGGCCGAATGTTCAGTTGTCTATGCATTCAAATTTGAGGGGAAAAAAAAAGATTTACCCTCTCACACATGTTCTTCACTTTTCTGCTGTAGGTCCTGAACACGGATGCTTTGATGGGTGTGTGCGTGAGCGAGTGGCTGGGAGTGAAAGTCCGAGTGAGTATCTGCACTCGGAGAGAAGGCTGAGACTTAAGTCGCCATATCAGGCCCCCGTTTCGGTCTTCATTTAGCAAACATTTATAGCTAACCCAATCAATGCCAGGCGTCGTCTAGGAGCTGGGGGTCTTGTAGTAGACCAGGCTCGCACCGTTGCCCCATTCCACAGAGTGGAAGCAAAGGTACCAGAGAAAATTCTCCGTAAGAGACAACCATACTAAAGAATAAAGCCGCCACCGGAGCTAGTGCGTAGACATTGTGCGCCCGCACAGCCTGAGCTCCGCGGAAGCCAATGGGCGCGCGACCCCGGGGACGCGCATGCGCAGTGCAGCCTCGCCCGGAAGTCGATCCCTCGGTGCTGAGCGCAAACTCGCAGGGATGAAGTAAGGCCTCAGCTTCTTTCCCGGGAGTGGGGGGGTTGAAGGCGGACCTCAGGGATGACCCACTAGGGCTGGGGTGGTAGAGCGCTTACCACGCTGAGGGGCGGCTCGGAGACTAGAAAACTAGTCCCCTAGTTTTGATCTCCCTTACGCGAGACCAGGCCTCACTTAACCGCTTTTCCGTCCTCTGTGCAGCCCTTTAACTAAAGTGAAGCTGATCAATGAGCTGAATGAGCGTGAGGTCCAGCTTGGGGTAGCGGATAAGGTGTCCTGGCACTCTGAGTACAAAGACAGCGCCTGGATCTTCCTGGGTGAGGTCCACGTCTTTCTTCCGTCCTTCTCCCGCTGTGCTCTTTCTCTCCTGGCCTGCTTCTTAACATTTCAGCGCTTCCACCCCTCATTCTTCCCAGCATTCATCACCCACTTTTGATTCTTTCTGCTGTCTGCCCATAAATCTGTTTTCCATATTTCTTTTCTCACCGATGTCTAGTTTGCTCTCTCTGCCACATCAGTGTTCTGGTAGTTACTGTCTGCCATTCACTGTACTAAGAGTCTTGCTACTTTGTTTCTCAGACCATTATTATTATTTTATAATTAAAAGTGCTTTTTCTTTCAATCACAGTTGACATACAATATATGAGTTTAAGGTGCACAACATAGTGATTAGGCATTCATATAACTTAGGAAGAGGACACCTGGGTAAGTCTAGTACCCATGTGACACCGTACATAGTTATTACAATATCGTTAACTATATTCCCTGTGCTGTACTTTACATCCATGTGACTGTTTTTATAACCGGCAATTTATACGCCTTAATCCCTTCCCCTTTTTCACTCATCCCCTTAACCCCCTCTCATGTGGCAACCATCAAAATGTTCTCTGTATCTATGAGTTAGTTTCTGTTTTGTTTGTCCATTTATTTTGTTTTTTAGATGCCACATATAAGCGAAATTATATAGTATTTGTCTTTCTCTGTCTCAGACCATTATCATCATTCCCCTGACCCCCATTACGCAGCTGAGAAAACTGAGGCACTGAGAAGTTAATGAACTTATTAAGGTCACATAGCTTGTAAGTGGAACAGCCAGAACTATGGGATTCTAGAACTCATGGTCTTAGCCACTATCCCATATTACTGCTAATTCCTCCCCAGCCCAATCTCCTTCCTTCAGAATTCATTTTTTCTCATCTGATTAGCTGCTGCCTTCTGTCCATGGCCATATTACTATCTCTATATTCACTGTGATACATCCAGTAATTTGACAATTAGTTCAAAGAGGCTATTGCACCAGACATGGTGCTGAGCACTTTATATTGTCATTTTATTTAATTCTTATAACAATTCTGTGAGGTAAGTAATAATACCCCATTTTACAGATGAGGAAGGAAACATTTTCAGGGGAATTTATTTCCAATAAATGCTTAACAGTTGTCTTTATTGTCCTTAGTCTGTGTGAGGCGGGGTTAATATTTGCATATTTAAAGTGATTTTGGATCTTAGCTGTAAATTTGTGAGTAAAGAGCAGATGAGTTGAAAATATGTTTGTGGAAGCAAAGTTTTGTGCTGAAAATGATCTGCTTTGTCCATAAGAGTTTAGATAGGAGGGGGATTAGTGTGGTTAGTGGTGACCTCGACCTTTCCACTCACAGTTAGTACTCTTTTTACTGTACTATTGCTTTACTGTATATATACTTCTATCACTGCATCAGGCTGTGTGTGAGTTCTCTGAGGGCGGGCCCCGTGGCTTACTCTTTGCACCTTCCAGTGCCTGGCATTTAATAGACAGTTGGTAAATGTTTGTTGAACTGAAATGTGATATTTTCTTCTAGGTGGGCTTCCTTATGAACTGACTGAAGGGGACATCATTTGTGTGTTCTCACAGTAAGTCCTCTTTCATTTCCTGCCTTCTGGGTCATCAGAGTAGTTTGCTTCCGTAATGCATTTTGTGGCATCACAAAAGCCATTTTATTTTAGGCTGACTGGCCTGCCTTCATGAGGAGAGCTGGAGCTCCTGTTCTAGTCTAGGTCATGGTTCTAGAACTCTCCCAATGTGAAAAATCCAAGAATTTGGATGATTTAAGAGGCTGTCTTGGGCATTCTGGTCTATTTTTACTGCTTTTTCACTGGGTCTTGTTCAGTGTGGGCCTATTCTGGAACAGACTGGAACTCCCAGGAAGACCTATATTGGCCTATCTCCTCAGGCTCCAGAAACTAGGGATAACTCATAGGACCCTTCTGGGCCCACACTTCTGTCGCCTTATAGACTTAGGGCAAAGCACAGAGGAACTGGTGAAAAAAGTAAAAGGTTTAGGCAGTAGTTTGCTTTTTTTGCTTCTAGATAGTATAAGGTTGATGAGCAGAGCCAATCTCTTTACTCAGATGGTGAGACTCACAGGCTGATGAGGAACAAGGATGAATAGGAGAACTTTATATTTTTCATTCTATAAGATGATAGTAGCAGCACTGGGTGGGAGAGGGTTTTGGCAGCTCACAGTGGTAGTGGCAGCTGGTGGGAGAGGGGCTGGGCACAACCAGAGAGCTACACAGAGTGATTAGACATTCCATAGGGCCAGAGGACTTTGGCAGCACCACAGGAGCAGAGGGCCATGGCTTCTGGGTTGTGTAGCCCTCAGGGGCAGAGGACTGTTGCAGAAAAGTTGGACAGCATGTATAGGCAGAGGACCATGGGAATCGGGCTTTAGCAAGTAAAACAGCACACCTTGGCAGAGGCAATGCCATGGCAGGGGGTGGTTGGGATCATCCCATAGGCAGAGGGCCCTGGCAGAGTGGTTGGCCAGCATATAGGGCAGAAGGCTATGGGAAAGAAATTGGGCAATGCATAAGAGAGGGCCATAGTAGAGGGCCTGGGTAGCCCACACAGTCAGAGGGCCCTGGCAGGGACAGAGGCTGCATCCTCCAACTTTTGGGCTTCCAGAAGTTCACAGCAGGTGCAGCTTATAATTTTCACCCCTACAAGGTACTCTGCCTGATCCAGCCTTACATCTAGGAGCTGTTTTTGTCTTAATTAGCATTGAGTGATGATCAGCTGGTATGTGTGTTTATTCTAATTCTCTATTATGGCTACCCATATTGCTCTACATGAAGCTACTGATAATTGGCTTTTATTTTCTGATTATCAAAGTACTGTATAGTTATTATAGAATATTTGGCGAAAAAAGATATAAAAAAGAAAATAGAATGTACTTAAAGGAGAAACTAACAATTTTGTGTATTTCTTTATCATAAAAATGTTGGGCATTATTTCCAGTATTTTGCTGTTACAAATTAGACTGCAATGTACATTGCAATCTCTACATCTTTGTATGCATTCTTGATGGTTTCCTTGGTAAAATTACTGGATCAATATGTTAGCATTTTAAAGATGTTTTATTGCCAAATTACTCTCTGAAAAGGTTGTATCAATTTCAGCTCTCATTGGAGTGCACATTTTTCTGAATCCTAATTGGCAGTGGTTATGTTAAAAAATATTTGCCCATGCTTCTCATTATTATTTTACATTGCATTTATTTCATCATCAATGAAGTGAAACATCTTTTCATAGATTTATAGGCCATTATTATTTCTTTTTCATTGTCAATTGTCTACCCTTGCCTATTTTTTTCTATCGGTGTGTTCCTCATTTTCTTATTGATTTTACAAGAGCCCTCATGTAGTAAGGATATTAACACTTTGTTATAACACTTTGCCATGTATTGCATTACTATGGACTTTTTTTTATTTGATATGTTATACTACATGGTAATCATTATTTCTTTTTTTAATTTTGTTTTTTAAAAAATTATTATATATTTTTTATTATGGTGACATTGGTTAACGAAATCCAGTAAGTTTCAAGTGTACAATTTAATAATAAAGTGTATATATATTGCATTGTGTGTTCATCACTCATAGTTAGATTTCTTTATCACCACGTATTTGACAGTTTTTACCCAATCTACTTCCCACCACCCTCCCCGCTCCATCCTCTGGTAACCACTAGTTTATTGTCCATGTCCGTGAGTCTGTTTGTTTGTCATGTTCATTTGTTGCTTTTAGGTTTCTATCCCACATATAGGTGATATCTTGTGGTTTTGAACTTTTTCCGTCTGGCTTATTTCACTTAGCATGATTATCTCGAGGTCCATCCATGTTGTCGCAAATGGCAGTATTTCATCTCTTCTTATGGCTGAGTAATATTCCATTGTATATATGCACCACAGCTTCTTTAGCCAATAATCTATCATAGGACACTTCAATTGCTTCTATGTCCTGGCCACTGTGAATAATGTTGCTATGAACATCGGTGTGCAAATATTTTTTCAGGTATGGGTTTTCAAGTCTTTGGGGTAAATACCCAGTAGAGGGATTGCTGGTTCATATGGTAGATCAAGTTTTAGTTTTTGGAGGAAAGTCCATACTGTTTTCCATAGTGGCTGTACCAATTTGCAGTTGCAGTTCCACCAGCAGTGTATAAGGGTTCCTGTTTCTCCACATCTTCTCCAACATTTATTATTACTTGTCCTGTTGATAACAGTTATTCTAACAGGTGTGAGATGGTTTCTCATTGTGGTTTGGATTTGCATTTGCCTACTAGCTAGTGATGTGGAGCATCCTTTAGTATGTTTGTTGACTATTTGTATATCTCCTTGGGAGAAGTGTCTGTTCAGGTCCTCTGCCCATTTTTTAATTGGATTGTTTGCTTTTTTGCTGTTATTGAGTTGTATGAGTTCTTTGTATGTTTTGGATATTAGACCCTTATCAGAGGCATTGCTCGTCAAATACATTTTCCCATTCTGATGGTTGTCTCTTTAACTCGTTGATGGTTTCTTTTGCTGAGGAGAAGATTTTAGTTTGATGTAGTCCCATTCATTTATTTTTGCCTTTACTTCCCTTGCCTTTGAGGTCAAATTCATAAAATCCTCTTTAAGTCCATAAGTTTAGTTCCTATGTTTTCTTCTATGCAATGTATTGTTTCAGGTCTTATATTCAGATCCTTAATCCATTTTGAGTTAATTTTGGTGTGTGGTGAAAGACAATAGTCTAGTTTCATTCTTTTGCAGGTGGCTTTCCAGTTTTCCCAGCACCATTTATTGAAGAGGCTTTCCTTTCTCCACTGTATATTTTTGGCTTTTTTGCTGAAAATTATTTGCCCATATAAATGTGGGTTTACTTCTGGACTCTAGATTCTGTTCCGCTGGTCCGTATGTCTGTTTTTCTGTCAATACCATGTCATTTTGATTATTGTCACTTCGTAGTATAATTTGAAGTTGGGTAGAGTGATGCCTCTAAACTTGTTCTTTTTTCTCAGGATGGCTTTGGCAATTCAAAGTCTTTTGTGCTTTCATAAAAATCTCTTAATTTTTTGTTTTATTTCTGTAAAAAAAGCTTATGGGATTTTGATGAGGATTGCATTAAATCTGTATAATGCTTTAGGTAATAAATTCATTTAAACTATGTTGATTTTTCCAATCCAAGAACACGGAATATCTTTCCATTTCTTTGTATCTTCTTCAACTTCCTTTAATAGAGTCTTATAGTTTTTATTATACAGGTTCTTCACATGTTTTGTTAGCTTTATTCCTAGGTATTTTATTCTTTTTGTTATAATTACAAAAGGAATTATTTTTTCTATTTCTTTCTCTGACACTTAATTATTAGAGTATAGGAATGCTATGGATTTTTTTTTTATGCTATGGATTTTTGAACATTGATTTTGTATCCAGAAACTTTACTGTATTTGCTTACTGTTTCTAGTAGTGTTCTTATGGAGTCTTTAGGGTTTTCTATATAGAGAATCATGTCATATGCAAATAGTGAAAGTTTGACTTCTTCGTTACCTATTTGGATGCATTTTATATCTTTCTCTTGACTGACTGCACTCACTAGGACCTCCAATGTTATACTGAATAACAGTGTTGTTAGTGGACAGCCTTGTCTTGTTCCTAGTCTTACAGGGAAGGTTTTTAGCTTTTCACTATTAAGTATAATGTTGGCTGAGGGTTTGTCATGTATTGCCTTTATTATGTCAAGGTGCTTTCTTTCTATATCGATTTTGTTAACTGTTTCGATCATAAATGAATGTTCTATCTTATCAAAGACTTTCTCTGCATCGTTTGATATGATTCTTATTTTTTAATTTGTTTATGTGGTGTATCACAGTAATCGATTTTTGTATATTGAACCATCCCTGTGCCCCTGGAATGAAGCTCACTTGTTCATGGTGTATAATCTTTTTAATATGTTGGCGGATTTGGTTCACTAGTATCTTATTTAGGATTTTTGCATCTGTGTTCATTAGAGATCTCGGTCAATAGTTTTCTTTTTATGTGTTGTCTTTACCAGGTTTTGGTATTAGGGTAATATTGGCCTATGAAAATGAGTTAGGAACTATTGTCTCCTCTTCGATTTTTTGTTAGAGTTTGTGGAGAATAGGTATTAAATCTTCTTTGAATGTTAGTAGAATTCACTGGTCAAGCCATCTGGTCCTGGAATTTTACTTTTTGGTAGGTTTTTGATGATTGTTTCAATTTCCATACTGCTGATTGGTCTATTTAGATTTTCCAGTTCTTGATTCAGTCTAGGAAGGTTGTATATCTCTAAGTATTGGTCCATTTCTTCTAGGTTATTAAATTTTGTGTTATATACTTTTTCATAGCATTCTTGTATGATCCTTTGTATTTCTGCAGTGTCTGTTGTATTTTTTCTTCTTTCAACCCTATTTTTGTTTATTTGTGTCCTTTTTTGTTTCTTAGTCTTTCCAGGGGTTTGTCAATTTTATTATCCTTTTCAAAGAGCCAGCTCTTTGTGACATTTAATTTTTCTGTTTTTTTTTTTTTGTTGTTGTTGTTTTTAACTTCATTTAATTCTGCTCTAATTTTGAT